CTTTCTTAAGATGCCAGCTCCTCACCCAGGTCACCTGGATGGCCCCTGGGAGGGAGCGAGCGTGGGCCCAGGGCTAATGCAGGCCACCTACCCTAATGGCTTGGCTGGTAGCAGGCTGTGATCCTTTGTCCTTAAGAATCTTATCTCTTTGATCACTGGTGCGCTCAAGTAGTAAAGACCACTGTCCTGGCTATTGTTCTGCCCGAGGGATGGAGAGCGGTCAACAAGAATGATAGAGAGTCAGGGGAAAGGGGCCGCTTTGTTTGGAAGCTTCTTTTAAAGCCTTTTCTTTTGGAAAGGTTGCAGCATTACAGCAATGTCACGAAGCTTATTCGGGGTAGATTATTCTATCTCCTTTGCACCTTCTTCGCCCAGTGGAACGTTTCACACAATTCCACAGAAATGCACACCAGCACCAGGCTGTGGGCCACACCAAGGGCTGTTATCTCGCCACTGTGCATTTTGCTGCCATGTCTATTAAGTCTTCTAGCTCTGTGACACCGTTCTCTGTTTCCTCTCATCGTTCACATCATTGGAACATCTGGACAGTGCTCGTCAAAAATATTCTGTTGACTGCTGACTGTGCGATGCTTTCTCACAGCTAATGAGTGGACATCTGGGGCAAGAATACTATAGAAACACGGATTCTTTTTCAGTGCTCTGTGGAATAAGGGCCTGCTTTACAACAGCATTGAACAGGGACATGTGCTGAGGCTACCTAAGACCAGGGATCATTGAGGAACCCAAGTAGTTGGTGTAAGGAGAGCTAGGTAGGAGCCTGAGACAGTGGCAGACTCGCTCTCCTCTCCCTCTTCCATCCCTTCTTTGTTATGATCATGACAAATGGAGAAGTGGGAATGCTCCTTTGCGGTGGGAAGACAGCATTGATTTTGTAAAGATGTGATGCCATGAAGATCAGCAGAAGGACAAGAGCATCAAAGAAGGCAGGCGCTGAGGATGTGCGCAGCAGTGCACCCAAAGGATGGTGCTGGCAATCGACCCTTTTGGGGTCTACTGTACCCTTTGTGGATTCATCAGGGTTCTAGATAACCTGAGAATGAGATGCAGACACCTCAGTGGGAGGAAACTTGTGAATTTGAGGGCAAGTAACCATGTCTTAAGCAGTGTTCCCAGACATTAGAAAGCACGTCGGATTTTCTTGCTTGAATACAATTTGGGATCCTACATAATTTCTAGACTTGCATTTTGCACTTTTTTTTTTTTTTAATCTCCTTAAAGGGCAACTTCCTAAGGGTTGGGTCCTTGTGTCCTTGGTACTTGTCTGAAAGCTGCTCCTCAGGCCTGGCTCATTCTAGGAGCTCAGAAAATACTTAGTAAGGAAAGTAAATTTTTAAAAGGAGTCAATGAATGGAGTGCTCATTTTCAAACAGATTTGCGGGCATGTCACTCTTCCCTACTCAGAAGTCTCTTCAGGCTGGATGAGAACCCAGCAAAGGCCATATGCACACCGTGCTCGAGCCCTCAAAGTATGTGGAGATGTTGACAGGAATGACTGTTTTCTGGGAAGTTCCTTAGTCCTGCAGAATCTGGATTATTTGTGGGAAACTCAATAATATCAAATGCATAGATGGCAAATTCTGAGAATGAGAAGAGGAGGAGAGGGTGATAATGTTAGGTTTCCTTCTGGTGGTCCATAGGAAGGGTGGTCATTGAAGTGGGAACAGGACCATGTGGAATAAATCATAAATGCGGTTCTTACACACACTAGTGTCTATCTATCACCTATCAATTATCTATCACTAGATTCGTTGCTTCTAGAGCAGTTGCAGAAAAGGCCTGTGCTTCCAGAACAGTCTTCTCCCCCCTGGGATGGTGAGTAGGGAAGCTGGGAAGGATTAATTTCTGTTCTTGATGCCAGTGGAGGCAACATAGACACCAGGCACACACTATTTCATATGCTTTCTCTACAGTGGTCAGAAAGAGCATGGAGCTCCGCCTCTTCCAAGGACATGGCTGGGAGTGCCTGCAGGAAATAGCATCTGGCTGAGGAAGCGTTACAGTGAGGTGAAGGTGTTTCTGAGGGTATTTTCTCAGATCAAGTGCACTATTAAAAAGAATGCAGTCTCGGGGCTGGAGAAGTGGCTCAGCGTTTAAGAGCACTGGCTGCTCTTCCAGAGGTCCTGAGTTACATTCCCAGCAACCATATGGTGGCTCACAGCCATCTATAATGTGATCTGGTGCCTTCTTCTGGCGTTCAGGTGTACGTGCGATAGAGTACTTAAAAAAAAAAATAAATGAATACATCTTTTTTTTTTTTTTTTAAAGAATGCAGTCTCCACCAAAATTGCAAGCAAGTCACAAGACTGATAGAACTGTTCAGCACCATTAATGGGGGATCTTAGGAGACTGCTTTGAAATAAAACTCCAGTTCAGATTTATTCTTGTACCAGTTCATACCTTTACTTGGCATACATTAGCTCCAATATTCAATGGAATTGGGCTCTTTAAAGCAAATACTGGTCTGCTCATGAGAGAACAGCAAGAGGAGAACGGCTGTGCCATTAAACACTGGCCCTGAGAAGCAGATTCACTTTGTGTCCTCAGACACACAGGAAGCACATAGCAGTTTGCACAGTTACAGAGGAGGGGGTCTTAATTTCATGAGAGGCACCAAATTTACTTGCCTCCCAAAGATGAAAGGCCAAAGTACTTTCAATTCTGAGTCAATATAAAGCTGAAGTGACCAATTCAGTTGATGGCCAGTCAACTGATGGCTAATCTCATCGCAGGGAATTGACTTGTAATTAAGAAGCTAAGCATGTAGGGCTGAAGAGACAGCTCAGTAGACAGGAGCACTGTTCTACTTGCAGAGGACCTGGGGTTTGCTTCCCAGCACCCACATGGTGGCCCACAACTATCCTCAACTCCTGTTCCAGGGAATCTGATACCTTCTTCTGACCTCCTTGGGTACCAGACACACACACGGTGCACATACATACGTGCAGGCAAAACACTCATACACAAAAAATGTTAAAATCAAAAAGATTCTGTAAAGAAGCTAGACATGTATTAATATTTTATTATGTGTGTAGTGTGTGTGTGTGAGAGAGAGAGAGAGAGAGAGAGAGAGAGAGAGAGAACACATGCCATGACATGTATGTAGAGTGTAGAGGTCAAGGGAAAACTCTGTGGAGCCGGTTCTCTTTCTACATTTACCTAGGAGCTAAGAATTGAACCCAGGCCAGGCTTGTGTGGCAAGTAGTTCATCCACTGAGCCATCTTGCTAACTCAGCGTCTTTAGTATTTTAAATAAAGTACTTGAACCAATCCGAAGAGTCATAAACACCAGCAGCTCAGGGTACTTTCTGCTAGTGTGGGCAAAGTCAAACTCCCAACTGAATGACCCCTCTTGGAGCTGGAGCATAGTCTTCTGCAAGTATAGCTATGTTCTGAAGTTAGCCTAGGAGGGGGAAGAAATCCAAAAAGCAGCCCAACATTTTCCAAACGGAGCACTGGCTGCTGAGTCAGCTGGAACATAATTTATGCCAGTAAGTCCTTGGATGTCAAAGTGACTCTTATCATCAGAACCCTTTTAATTTGGACCTAGATTCCTGAATCTAGAAAGGGCAGGGAAATCTCCAGGGGAAATCCAGGGTTGCATCTGGTCCTGCTAAAAGGAGAGAGGGAAAAGAAATCCTATACTGGAAAGTTGGACCAGATGAAGAAGTTTACGTATGGGTCTTCATTTCCTGTGACAAGGTGATCGTGCTTCCATGTAGGTCTTGTGTATGTGTGTGTGTGTCTGTGTGTAGGTAGGTAGGCCAGAGGTTGACACAAGTGTCTTTCTCGATTGCTTTTCACCGCATTTTTTGAGATAGGGTCTCTTGCTGACTCTAGAGCTCCCTAGTTTGACTAGACAGCCTAAGGCATCCTCCTGGCCCCGCTTCTCCAGTGCTGGGATCACACACACCTACCCCTTCTTCTGTTCCTAGGAGACAGTCTCACTCCAGTGAAGGCTGGCCTGTTCTTAGTAAGTCTCCTGACTCCTTCCGAGTGCTGGGAACACAGGTGTGAAACGCCACTCCCGGCTTAGGGGGATAAGTATGATGTGGAATCGGTGGTCCCTTAGGAGTGATTCTGGCTTTAAGTTTTCCAAAGCCAGTCTCTTTGAAACGTGTTTATTTTTACCACAACCCTTAATAAGAAATACTTCATCCTTATTTTTAAGGCAGTGTCTTTGCTATGTAGTCCAGGCTAGCCTCAAACTCATGATTCTCGTGTTTCTGCCCCCAATGCTGGGATTCCAGATGTATGCCACCCTGACCTACAAAAGGCAAAGTCTACATTGCAACCCAATCTATATATTTAGATGTAAACATCATACCTACCTTTAGCATGATGTTATACATACCCACGTGCATATACACAAAGTGAACTGAGTTTCATGTCAGCTCAGATGCATTCTTCCGTTTTCCCTCTGTTTCACTGGGAAGAAGCTGGTCAGTTTTTACTACGCTGCCTGTCTGATCCACAGGCTGGCAGGCACTCCCCCCTGCAACCTGAGAGGCTGCCCTGGCCAAGGCAGCTAAGTGCACTGGGTAGTGGTTCCTGTTCTGATTGCTGAAAGAAAGCAGTGGTGTCAAGCCCAGTCATGGAAAGTGAATATTCCATAACTTAAAACAAGCTCAGTAAGAACCACCACTGTGTGTAAACCCTCTCTACTAACAAGCCATGCTATTTCACAGTGAACTTCTCTTTTTTTGTGTGCAAATATTTCTTAAAGATTTGTTTTTATGTGTACGAGTGTTTTGCCTGCATGTGTGTGCCTGGTGCGGGAGGCTAGAAAAGGGCATCAGATCCCAGGAACTGGAATTACAGATGGTTGCAAGTTGCCACTTGGGTGCTGGGAATTGAGTCCAGGTCCTTTGCAACAGCAAATTAACCCGACCCGCGGGCTAGTCAAACAGGGTCTACCTGAGAGAGAGTGGGGACTGATAGGGACAGAGACGCGAAGAATGAGGACCAAGACAGGTTTCTGGTCAAGGTCCCGGTTTACTGTTGGTACAAGCAGCACTTACAAAGCAAAGAAACACAAATAGATCTTTTCATGATAACAGCATTTGTGTCACCTGCCAAGGCGTTCGAGGATTCACTCAAGGTTACACAAAATTTGCTGTCTGCTTCCCAGCGTTGCACGGAGCTTGCTATCTAGTGCTCAGGAATAGAACATCCCGCAGCAAAGGCTGCCAAGGACAGTCCCTGAGAAACTGAACTTTAGATTAGACCCATATCTGCCAAGGTCAGAAGGCAAAATTCCATTTGCCAGACTCCTTCAGCAAATGCTTTTACCTTTGGAGCCATCTTTCTAGTCCCAAATATTTTTTTCTCTTCTTCTTCTTCTAAAACAAAACTAAACAAAACAAAACAAAAAAAAAAAGACTTCCTTTGTACTTTCAAAAACATCATGATTTGGGTCCTCAAAATCATCAAGACTTGGTATTTTAATATCATGGGCCATTCCTGTCTTTTCAGGGTACTTGAGGCTCTAGGTAGTGAGCTAAAATTCTGGTCTAATTTCCCAAACAGTGATCTCTTTAGTTTTTAGCACACACTTTCACAGATGAGCAACAACTACAGTTATTATGGCTACTTCTGGTGGTTCATCCATATAATGGAATAAATATTTCATTTAGTTAAGAAAATTTTAAATTTCCATTTTATAATATTTCCTCACAGAATATTGTAATATGTAGCATAAACCAACAACAAGACTTGATTCCAGGGCTGGGATGTGGCTCAGTGGAGGGGTCTTGCTGCATTACATTTTGATCTATTGTACTTTTCTTCTTAACACCAGACACAACAAATTCTAAACACCTAAATTAGGAGAATATGGGTTCCTGGTTTGGGCTTAGTTCTCTGTAAATTTTTTTAACCACACCTGAATTTAAGATTTACCATAGCCTCGTGTAATGAAACATGGACAAAAGAGTCAGTGTTTGGATGATCTAAGCTGAGCACTGGGAGGGCAGCCTCTGATCTACATGCTGGTCTTCTGACTATTATCTTGAAATGAGGCAATCTCAGCAACTGAAAATTTTAAGTATCTTCAAAATATCTTTTTGGCTGAGAATCAGTTTCCCGCCACAGCACCCTGATTCTTCTAGCACGTTGCCCTGTGGAGGCCAACCATTGCTGGCTTCACATTCATGACTTGGGGCCTCTCTCTGTCCTCCCCCCAAGCAGCACTTGCCTTTTAACAGCATGAGCTGAGCTTTCTAACACATGTTGCTTTGGTGCAGTTATTTCTTTTTGCTGCAAAACAAAACAACAACCTTTTCAAGATATATCCAGCCAGTTTGCGTCCCTATATCCAGGTAAGCGCCCTGCACTACTCCTTAGCTTTGAAAGACATCAACCATGCTCATCCAAATCAAACAGGCCTTGGGAGAGTCCTGACAATGACGTCTTCATCGAGCATGGGCGCAGCTAAGCCTCCACTCCTTGTTTGCTCTGCACGGCTGTGCCAAGATCTTGGCTTTTAATGCTCCCAGCATCCCTGGAAACATCACTTGTTTGGCGTATAAACTTAAGAATGGTTTTGCATTCACAACAGAATTTGAGGGTAAATGGAAATAGTGTGAATCTCTTAGGGTCTGGAATTATTTTCTTTACCCAGCCATAGCACTTGAGTAGTTCAGAATCTTATTACCCTATGATAGTGTATTTGTAAAATTATATCAGAAATAAAACAAAAGGATTTACTGTAATAGGATTCATTCTTTTTAACCTTTGAAATTGAAGTTTTTTCCTGAATATTAAAAGCACTCATTTTAACTGATGATGAAATATTAAAGGGAAGCATGATTAAGGAGTCACAATGTTTAACTTTTAATATATAAATATAAAAATCTACTCTTCATATACTAATCTGATGACACCAAGTTATTAGCAGAGTATAATAACCTAACTCCTCTCACCCCAAAACTGGCTTTAATTAAATCTCTTAATGGCTAAACATCATCGCTTCATCATCAGAAAACACAGAGAATATGAGAAAAGTAACATTTACAAACTCTATGCTTTCAAAATCTTGAGTACATTATAATGAATTTTCTTTTATTATGGCTACAACTTGAGTAACAGCACAAAATACATGTATTTTAAAAGGTCCTTTTACAAAACAAGAGGAAATAAACACCAGGAACTATACATGTTTCCACTACAGGAAGCAGAGAAAGTGGGATGTGTTTGGTGCTTTGCTAGTGAACATGGAAGCCACAATGCCCTCAACCTGAGCCCTCTGGTGTGGGCTGGCCTCAGGGCCCAGGCAGAAGGGCATTGCAGTGTGTGGACAGACAGCCAGTTCTGCTAGCTCCCACTTGCTCCTCAGGCTAAACTCCAGGCAGAAGTTGGCTTTGTGGGGTTCCTGTAGATCTGCCAACCCACAGCACTCCAGGGACACTGAGGAGGATGCTGGCCAAATCCTGCATGAGAAGTCATCTCCTCACTCCCTCCTCAGCCTTGGAGGCTGCACTGAAGGGAGCCCTTTATCTGATTTTATGCTGTTATGCTCTAGCCAAGGAAAAGTAAGAGAAAGCAAGGAAAAACAACTTTAGCTTTATACGGGGAGAAAGGAAAGGATTCTTCAAAGTAGCTGATCGGGGAATGAAGGCTAACCAAGGCTAACCATCCTTAAATCTTAGCTCCATTTGATATTTTTTCATTTACCAATGGTTTTAAGGAGTTGAAATAGTTGTGATTTTATAGGTCTCACCTTCTATATTATTGCTTTGTCAAAAAGAGTGGTCTAAAGTCACTGCTGACAAATATCAAGTACCCTCCATGCTATATGCAAATACTCATGTGCAAAGCACACTCAGAAGCAGACATGCCTACATGCTGACACACATTTAAAAGGCAGGTTCTCAAAGATAGCTTGGTTGCCACTCGTGAGACTACTGCTAGAAAGTGTTCCTTCTAACAAAGACTGCATGTGGATGTAGATTCTCAGATGAAGTCACATATACAGATGGCTGTTCAGAAACAGTCACCACACAAACTCATTTTTTCTGAACCAATAAAGGCTTTCTGAAGAAATGTCTGAATTTTATTTTCCTTTTCCCTCAGAAAAGTGAAAATGATAATCTTACATAATTTTTCTCAAGTGGATAGACTTAGACAATTTATTGATGCTTCCTTCAATTTTCACACCACACTGAGCTCCAACAGGTTTTTGTTTTAAGGTGAACCAGGTTTCTGGCTCTTCCCTGTGGAGAAGTTACTTTCAAGTCAGTGAAAGTTCTTGGCCCATGATTAAAAGTCTTTGCCAATTAGTACTCAACAACTTCAATTCAGTTTTTTCTGGTTCAAGATGAGCTGGAGCCTAATAAGGCTGTGATAAAAGGGCAAAAGGCACCGAGAGCCAAAAGCGGATTAATGAGCTCCTCCATGTATTTGTCTTCCTAACAGCTGAACTGTTACAACTATTGACACTCTTCAAACGGTTCCGCTCTGAACCCTGTCCAGGCACTGCAGGCTCCAATGGACATCTTCAAATCCAGAGAATGGAGGAGCAAGAGCTTCCCCTGTGTGATGCCAAAACCAACAAAGCCCCATGGATCAGGTAATGAAACTTCAGCTTTTCCCCCTTTGAGATTTATTTACTGGCAGCTGACAAGGGGCAAATTCAGCTCGAATTGTGCAGTCAAGGCCCTGTCAAGCTTTTAGAGGCACCCTTGTCTTGAAGCACCTTCATGACTGGCATTTCGCTCAAAAGCCCTCGGCGCTGGTCCTTAACAGCTTATGACATCACAAAGGACACTCCAGACAGATGCCTACATGGCATCCTGCAGCATTTTAAAAGAGAATTAGTGGTTTTAATTATGGTCGTAGTATGAAAGGGAACCATGCAAGCTCCACGGGAGACCTTTGATCAGATCCTTTTGCTAGCACAATGCCACGGAACTGTGACTATTCCTGGTAAGGGGCCTTTTCTTGCTGAATGACTCACCAGTGATCTTTGAATGCAGACAAGCTTCTAGCCCTCCCTCTTCATTAGTGAGCATTTCTATACAGGGGCCTATATAGTGCTTGGAGTCTAGGAGCTATACAATCGGGGGGAGGGGGGTGAGAATCCCTACAGATTCTGGCCTCTACTTAGGAAGTGCTGAAGGACTCTGAGTGACTTTATTCATTAAAACAGGTTGCTATTAATTAACTGTCATAATAAAATAAAGAACTATTATTATTTGCATTTCTTGCTATGTTCTCTTTAGTAATATGTATAAAAGATGCCTGTAACAGAAATGAATTTATTGAACAAGTTCCCCACCCCCACTCTTGCCCATGCCCCTTTGTGCATCTAGGCAGCTACTTACTAATTACTGGGTCTAGACCTGTGAATCCAAATAGAACTGAAACATAAATATGAAATTAATGAAGGACATATAAAATGACTTTTAATTTGCCCATTTCTGCAACTGAAATGAGCAAATATGAAATTGGCGTTCCTTTGCAGTGACTGCAGAACTATGACAATAAAACTCGAAGTTTAAAAACACAAACTTGATAATATATATAACAATTATAGTTAAAAAAGAAAGAAAGGCTTCTAACAAGGTATAACAAGAATTGTTTTTAGAAACTATCTCACTTGCAGGAAATAGAAAATGCCTCTGGTCTGGAATGAGTATTTTAAGAATTTACCTTTTTAAATGGATTCCAATAAGCATGGACCTTAAAGGACTCAGAGTCAACATTTTAGGTCTGTGGAGACAGTTTCTTCTTCTCATCTAGAACCTGCGGTTAGTCGCTCAGTGGAGACTGCAGATGTTTTGAATGTCTCTCATGGAAATGCTAATTTGGCGGTAGGAAATAAACACAGTTCTGCATAAGGCATCCATTTCTGCCCCTACCGTGTTTCTGCTGTACATGATACTTATATCCAGGAGAGAACTGAGATTTCTCCTTTTTTGACACAGCTTCTTTACTTGAAGGAAGAACTTTGGACTGTAGAAGGGTCTGAAGCAGCACTGTGAGCAGGGCTGCCACACTTGGCTGCCTCAGACCTTTTTTGTATCTCTTAGACTTCGCAGTTCTCTTCTTAGGTGCCTGAGAGCAGCTACAATGTCCGCTCGCTGCGGATCACTCTGAGCTTTCTGAGTGTAGAGACGAAAGTGTCTGATGGTTTCCGACAGCAGGACTTCGGCATCTGCGTCTCCCGCTGGCAGGCGCAGCATCCGCTCACAGGCGATGGCATAGTTCTTGTGCCAGTTCACTGGGTGCCCCTCCTGCAAGTACACTATCTCCTTATAAAGCTGGAAGACAGCAAATGGTGGGATTCCATTGTTACCTTGACAAATGTTCTCATTTTAAAACTAGAAAACAGAGAAGAATTAATAACACAAGGGGGAAAAACTGAAGCAGCCTACAGTAAGAAATCTAATCGCTGCCAGACCATGCAGAAAATACGGGAAGCAACGGAATGACTGTGGTAGCGGGAGGCAAACGAGCTCCATCTAAAACTGCTTCCGGAGCTTTGGACGCTGCAGGGCCTGAGACACACTGTGTCAGGACAAAGTGCTCTTCCTCCAGAAAGATGTTTTGGGAAAGGATTTAGTTCTAACTGGAGGAAAGCTATTTACTCAACAGGCTAAGCAGCTAAACCTCTAAATTTAGCTGCTGGGGGGTTAAAAAAAAAAAACACCTTTTAAAGTAGATAGTGTAGAAGAAAGAACTTGGCAGAATTCAACTTCTGTTTCACATTATTTATGTGGATTTCTCTCTACATGAAACAGCACTAGAACAATACAGTCCAAACAATTCCATTGTTGTCAGCTGTACTTGGCACAAGAGAATCAAGAGATCCCCTATAAAGGTAATACTGAAAATCTTCACAGCATCCTACAATTTACCATCTTAATAGCCAAAACCTTGCCCACGGAACCTCAGAATTTTGATTCCCCAACTGCACAGACAGTATTAACTGGATGCAAGCTGAACCAAAATATTTACCTATTCATGCATTTATCCCTTCCTGTGTGCGTGCCTGCATGTGCATGTGTGTATCTGCCACAACATACATGTGACGTTCAGGGGACAACTTTGGGAGCTGGTTCTCTCTTCCCACCGTGTGGGTTCTGAGGATCAAATGCAGGTCATCAGGTTTGGCAGCTGAGCCATCTTATCAGCAGTCTAGCATTTTGGGTACTGAATTTTCCAGAGAGAATGCATCAACATTTAACAAATAAGCAGCTAAGTGGACACTAGTTTGCACAGTGGAACATGATGCTTCCTTCTTTAGGAGTTTCATTGTCGAGTTAGTACTGCGTAACTAGGAGTGTTCCAGTAGACTCTGAGGACAGACCAGAGTAATGCTTTTTAAAGTAGGGCTGTGTTCACATTATCATGTCGTTGAAATGGACCACTTACATTATCTTCTTCCCTTTCTCCTCCAAAGCAGACAAGCAAACGCCAACTGTAAGACAGCATGCTTGTCAACAACTCCACAGCCTGTGACTGTCCTTCGGAGATTTAAAAACCCCATCCGTCTTCAAGCTCCTTGTTTCCTTTATACTCTCCACACTGGTTCTGCCAGACAGAACTCTACAGGCTGCCTTCCAAAACTGACTCCCTCACTGGTGAGTGGGGTACCCTGAAGGACTCTGTCTTTGCCCCTATAGTTGCCTCCTTATGGACCACCCTCTCTCCCTCACTTTCTTGGTCTCCCACCTGTTTGGCTAGCTCATCCTGATAGTCCATCATAGCACCTCATGACATCTCTCCCCAGCCCTCGGCTCAGCTCCCTAGCTCCCACAGCACCTCTGCCTGCACACGGAAGACTCATCTGTGACTGAGGAGTGGCTCATCCTCAGCATCCTTGCTGCTGCCTTTGTGACAGCAGGGGCCAGGCCATTTCTAAGACCATATGTGGTACTGAGTGCATAAATGCCGTGAGTGAACAAGGAATAAAAGTGAATTAATGTTCAAAATTTTGGAGCAAAATGAGTCCTGCTGATTGGACACCATGCTGGCTTATCTCAGCAGGAAGCAAATGTGCTTGCTGAGTAGAGCCACAGCATTCCAGAGAAAGGGAACTTGGCTGCTCATGTATGCAAGGCTTGAGCTGTGTGCACAGCCCTTACCAGGATTGTTTCTACAGGGCCAACTGGCTGGCTTTCGGTAGTGCCAGTGCTAGTAACCACAGGAAAGTAGAGCCTGTCAAACTGTGCTACCGTAAGCTTCCCTTTGCGCCTTTCCTGGGGAGCGGGTAGTAATGTCTTTTGAAGGTGTGGGGGGTTTCCCAAGGCTACTACGAAGGAAGACTTTTTGTAGCTTTTTATCTGTCCTCAGGACTCCTCGACCAGCCATGACCTATCATTTTATGTGCAGCCAGCGTCAGGACTTTGCACCAAGGATGACATGGCAGAACTTGTTTTAGTAAAGCCATTATGTTGGTTTCCTCTTGGTGCTGCAACAAAGAACCACAGAAACTCTGGCTAAAAACAACAAAGGCTCACTGTCCTGTACCCGAGGTGAGAAGCTGAGCTGCACTCCTTCTGCAGCTCTGGAGAACCTGTTCCCTCCCTTTCCACTTTCCAGAAGCTTCTGCACCTGTAACTCACAGCCCTACCTCCATCTCCATGGCTAGTGGACGCCATCCCCAAATCTCTCCTGACGGCCCCTGTGACCATACTGGACCCAGTCAGCTACTCCAGAAGAAGTTGCTCTCAAGTCCTTTAACTCATCCACACGTTCAGAGTGCCCTTTGCCACGGAAGCAGTGGCACAGGCACCACGGGGTGCGGATGTTATTCAGCTTGCCATGTACCTTTGCCTTCAACATTGTTTATGACACAATTGGCTATTTTCCCCACATGTGCTGCTCTAAAATGCTCAAGGTAACCTGGACATGAGAGGATAAAATCCTGTTGCACCCTCTCCCCTCCGTCACTTCCCCTCCCGTAGATGCCCGGCAGCAAAGCTGAAGCGTACCTTGTATGCATGAGTGTAGAGGCGTGCCTTCACATCCGGAGGCACCGCGGCAGTCTCTGCCAGGCTAAAGATGAAGAACGGTGTTTTCATCCTGACGGTGGGAGGAAGAACCTCATTAGAATCATACCGCAACATGTAAAGTTCAAAATCCCTTTTTTGGTGCACTTTTCATTCTCTCGTGCTCGTGGAAACTTACTGTGACCCAGCAATCCATCAGTCCTCCCAAGACAGAACAGTACCCCCTCACCACCAAAGCCCTCACAGGCACAGCGGCAGCCACACTCAACACTACAGCTTTTGGGAAGAAGGTTCATGTCATCACTGTACGGTTCCCTACAGATGCACATGACTGTTAGGGAAGAGCAGCCGGAGACAGGGAGAGCGCCTGGTCTGTCAGTGCATCCCTGAAGGTGCCCATGGCGGCAGCTCATGTCATGTGTCGCCAGTTCTTACGAGTGGCTGGACTCTTTGAGTGCACAAACATCCAAATTGTATTCAACACACCAATTAAATCAATACCTGCCCAAATAATGACCTGCTTCCTGCTTTTATGTGATGCCTCCCAGGCTTCCCACATTCAATCACAAGGAACAATTGTGCAGTGTCTCTCTGATCAGTATTCACTGCCATATGCTTGTCCCTATAACGAGACTGGCAACTTTATGCCATTTTCTAACTTTTTCAAAAACCCTCAGGTACAAAGTACAGGACAGCCATTTTGTAATCATTATATTGAAGTTATATTTCTTCCTTAAAAACCATTTTTATTACATTTATTGATTGATTTTGTGTGTACGTGGTGGTGGGGAACAGGGCTCCACATGCTACAGTGTAAACGCAGAGGTCAAGGGACAACTTTCAGAAATCAGTTTTCTCTTTCTCACGTAGGTAATAAGGATGGAACTCAGCTGGCACACTTGGGGGCAAGTGCACCTTTATCTGCGGAGCTAGTTTGCTGGCCCCAGGAGCTATATTTCTTGGTAATTATTAATAACTCTTTAAACACATGTAAATGCTTTATACAGTAACTCAATTCTCAGAACATAATCTGTGACATAGATTGGGTATCAATGTATGTTTGCGAAGGGAAGAACACCATATACGTGAGACACCCTATTCTGTATCACTTAAAACTTCTGTACTAATGCTTTAGCCAAAGTTTGCTAGTGTCAGCTTATTTTATTTTAATATTTTACTTTAATATTTTACATTTATTTATTTTGTGTCTGTGTGAACCTGCAAGCCATATCTTGAACATGGTGAGCAAAGGACAGTTTATAGAAATTGGTTCTGTCTCCAACCTGTGGGTTCTAAGGATCAAACTCAAGTCACTGGGCTTGACAGCAAGCGCCTTTATCATCTGAGCCATCCTGCAGGCCCCTGTTGGTTAATTAAAAGTAATGACAGGGACCAAGGAAAGCTGCAGTGCCACTGAGAAGTGACCTACATGGAGCAGCGTGACTGACCCTCTCTGGGCAGTCACACTAGCAGGTAATGTCTTTTCATGCAGCCTCCCACAATGAACTGTGTTTCATGAGGGCAGGGACTGTGTCCCATCCACGGGTAGCTTCTGGCCTGCCACACTTCTCGGCCTCTGGTAAGTGGCAGGGAGCTTTAATAACAAACTGGCCTGGCGCAAATGGAGACTGCAGTGCTTGATGACAGAACAGGAGTTAGGGGTGCTCCCTCACCATCACTAAGTGCCCCTGGAAATCTGTCTTCCTCGTTCTTCCATAAAATGGAGGTAACAGAGCTTCACAGGGAACTATGAAGATTATTGATATTGTTATATATTGTGCATACATAATAATACATAATAATACAAAGTCTTGAACAAAATAGCTGTTCTTAAGTTATTTTTATTTCTACTTATCCATATTATCAGAATGGAAAGTACCATGGGCTATTTCTTTGCCATCTTAAAAACAGACTGCAAATAATAAAATGTAGACTAGTCACCTTGCTTGCCACATCTCCTCATTGGCCACGGATTCCCAAGAAGATGGATCAAATCTGTAGTTATAAGAAGAACAGAATCCTTCTGTCAGCTACATCACATAGTGAACACATAAGGCTACTAAACAGGCCGGCCTTGCATGTACTGATCGTGGCCATACCAACAAGTTCACACAGTGGGTGTGCTCTTAATCTCGATCGGTCCAAGGGGAGGCTGCAGGCAGTAGACGGCTGTTCCTCAGAGCGTAGGTGACAAAATAAGGCACAGGCCACACTAGGACACAGCCAAGGGCTGGTAGGAAGAGCAGCTTCCTTAAACCCCTGCTGGGCTATGGGCTGCTTCAAGACTTCTGCCCAAACAACTGCTACCCAGTGTTTTATAGTTAACAATATAAACTATATTATAGTTTATATATATATTATAAACTATAGTGTTCTATAGTTAATAATACAAATTAAGAAATTTGTAATTAAATTTCTTATCACATATCTGTTTAGATAGAATGGAGCTAAGGAACAATACATACTTGTAATCTTCATCAACTATCTGAAGAAAATGTAATTAAAAAAATTTTTTTTGAGAAAGGGTCTGACTACATAGCTCAGATGGGTCTTGAACTCACATTCTTCTGATTCAGGCCTCTGAGTGCTGGGATGTTAGGCATGCGCCATCACACCCAGCAGACTATTATTTCCAACTTTTCTTATGAATCAAAGCAGAAGAGTTGTTCAGCTGCTGCTATTATACAACAATGTGGTATTGCTCATATTGTCTCAAAAACCATTCACAGCACCTGTTAACATGACCTAAACGATACGCTATCTAATATTAAATAATGCACTAACTTGAAAATATTTACATTTCATTCTGGGGGTATGCACATCTGAGTGCAGGTGGCTGTAAAGCCAGAAGAGAATGCTGGATCCCTGGAGCCGGAGTTACAGCTGTTATGAAGCCGCCACACATGGGTGCTGGCAACCACAGCTGGGTCCTCTGCAAGAGCAGTACAGGCTCTTAGCCAGGACTTATTTTCTTCATAGGTAAGGGTAAACTTTATGTAGAAATGCTTAAGAGATCAACAATGCCCTAGGCAATATACCAAGGTTGATGACAAACCATGGAAAAGGTTCTCAGACTCAGCCTTCCTTACAAAAACTTTGTGGTTTTTATTTTTGTGCTGGAGAAAAATAAACTCCAACCACATGCCAGGAAAGCGCTGTACCACTGAGACATGCTGAACTCATATCTGCATTCTTGTAGAAGGACATGGCAAGTTCACATGTAGAACTGTCATGGGCAGCGGAGTGTCTCCTAAAGCCTCACCTCAGCTTGTGAGTGAGCCCCTTCCATCATGTGGTAAGAAAGTGCAGGCTGTTGGACCATGCAGCATCACGGCCTGAAAGCAGAAGGTACCATGTGCCAAACTCTTAGGGAGCCACTCACCTTCCCTCAGATTCCCTAGACACAAAGAAACCACCTCTTTCTGTCCATGCTTTATGCTCTTCTATACGCATAAAATGATATTAATAAAAATATTAAAAAGGCATCTCAAGAGCCAAGTGTGGTGGGACAGATACATAGTCCTAGCACTTGGGAGGCTGATGCAGGAGGATCTGAGTTTGAGGTCTGCATAGTGAAAATTTGTCTCAAAAACCCAAAACAAACAAACAAACAAACAAATCTTAAATGTAGCCCTTTTTGTTTTTAGAGACACAAAACTGGCTGCCCATACCTTCTAAAAACATCTGCTGCTCATACCTTCCATATTCCTCAGTCCAGTTATAGATAGTTCTTGTGCGTTTAATCCATTCTTCCGGGTTGAATACAATCTTTGAAGAAACTAACTTGTCACAAGATCCCCATGGCCAAAGTGAATATTCCTTTTTCCAAGTTGGGTCACCTTCATGAATTCCTATGCAAACAAACGTTTCTTTTCTACCCAAAACAGAAAAGCATACAATTGTCAACGTTACATTCCTTTTGGACTTATTTATACCATTTGTAAACATGTTGGATTGTTTAAATTTTCCCCCAAGTATAATGCATGAAGTTTATTTACTGTAAAAAACAAAACAGGACAAAATGCTACAGGAAGGAACAAACATGAGAAATGTTTACCTGCCTCTCACGCTAAGAAGGCAGAGGGCCTTTTCACCGGGAGCACGGGTATGGCACTACGTCACATGTGAACAAATGCTTTCTTTGACATCCTTTCTAAGTTTACAGGTAGAATTTTAAGTCTCCTGGCCTCATACATCTATTGTGCTCTATTATCTCTTGTCACTTCTATGCTTACTATTTGCATTTGTAACTCTCCTGGAGAAGCCTAGAAGCACCCCAGGATAGGCTCCCCGCATTAACTTTGAATGCCACTCAGCATGATGTTAACACATAATAAATACTGGCTGGAATTAAATTAATCAGATTTGAATAACTGTTAGGAACCTTAGAGCCTGCAAAAGTTAGAAACAGAAATGGCTTAAACAGTAGTTCTCTTCCAATTTATGGTTGTTAAGTAGAAAGGAAAAAAAAAGGTGTGTATGAGCAGTGCAGCATATTAGGAGAATGATTTGAAAGTAAAAGACTTGGATAACTTTGAAAGAAGACAACTGCAGCCTAGATTTCAGCACTGACTGTCTGTATGATATGGAGAAAGTTACTTGACCGGATGTGTCTCTCATCTTCCTGGCGTCCTGGGCTGTTGAAAACAACACGGGGCATCTGATGTGAAGCTCACCTCTAGTGTAACAGGTCACTCTGGGGAAGATGCAGTACTGTCCTGGCCACACTCCGCCAAGCTCTGGGAGGAACCCAGCAGAGCCATCTGAGGGCCCTGAGGAGAAAGACCCCAGATGCAAATGAGCAGGGCGCCGCCCTTTCTCTCCTCCCAGTGCTGAAACCAGAGGGATGGACAAAGAAAACTCCCAGTTTTCAAGCCCAAGGAGTGAGAAAGGGGTCCCAAGGCTGGAAGATTGGGTGTGGCAGGCAGTGCCTTGGCAGGTATGGGGTTAGCAGCAGTGTGGAGATGACTGTGGTGGTGGCTAGTGAGGAACCCCAAACCCTGAGTTCCAGGAGCAGTGTGAGCTCTGCCTGGTATTGCCAGTCACAGGAAGGAAGGACGTGGCAGAAGATGAAAGCTTTCTTGCCCAAGGTACCAAGAAAGTAGGCCCCAGGGAACTAGAAAATACTGGGTGACTAGAAAGGTGAGAGATCCGTCATGGATCCTATAAAGCTTTGTGTGTATCCTGGCTGGTCTGAGCCATGAGTTCACTGTACCATGCACAGTTCTGGCTCCAAATGGGGTTATGCAATTGGTTACAAGGCAAGCCACGACCTAGGTCTTGGACCACACACTGGATAATGATGTGAAATGAGAAAGACTGGTCAGACAGAGATGAGGACTCAAAAATGAGAAGCCAGCAATGTCCTTGGTTTTACTGGCAGTTCTGTCCTAGCCAGAGGACAAAAATATCAAACATGTTTAAGGGCGCTGGTATGTGTTTCAGTTTGTTTTAATCTTTTTCGTTTTGCATAGCAACTAATGAGCACAGCTACAGGAAGCTGCGAGCAATCAGATCTCTTAGGTGCGCTCCAAACTCCCGTTCAGACATTAGGCTGCAGAAGCACCTCATGGGTGGGGCAACTGGCCTGAGCAGCTCATCCTACTTAATGCCTCAGTCTAACAGAATGTTATCGACCTCTAGAGCAGGACACACAGTGGCAGCCCTTGCCCAAGTCCTTACATAGGACCTCTGCTCACTTCCTTTCTCTTAAGCTCTTACATATAACAAAACTGTTTTGAAATTCAACCTCTCCATTATCTGTGAAATTCATCCTGTGACTTTGTGAGACAAGGGACCCAGGAGCCACTGGCTTGGGTGACCATGGTGGCTGTGGACTGCCTGGTACCCTGTTGTCTGAATCATTCCTCATACTCAAGACTCCTGTTCACCACATCCCCCTACCCCCAATCAGTAGCACACATGAGGGCTCAAGTCTGAGTCACCAAGACCACTTTACAGTGAACCATGCCTCCATCCCTCCTTTCACTTTGGGACAAGGTCAAAGTTAGCCATGCTGGCTTTAAACTCACTCTGTAGCCTACACTGGTACTGAACCTGCGATCCTCCTGCCTCAGCCTCCTCCTGGGATTACAGGCTCCCAGGCCAAGTCAGTCAACAGTTTGAATGGTTTTCAGGCTAACCAACCTTACTCTAAGGTACACCCTGACTTCATTCTGGAAACACAGAATCTCTGCAGTGAGGATGGGAGCACTGGCTGCCACGGTGAGCTCGTGGGAGCAGCATGGCTACCCAGAAACAGCACAAGAGCATCTGTGGTTCTGGACTGTCCTGTATCCTGACTGTGGGATGCACACACACAAATGCAGACATGTCAAAGTTCACAGAAATGCGTGCCACAAAAGTCGTCTATTTTAACACAGGTTTTTAAAGACTACAGTTGCTCAATAACTTTGCTTCCTTCCTTAGAAGTATGGACTGAGGGAAACTTCAGATGAAGGGCCTAGTAAGTGCTATCAAGCTACTCGTGTCTTCAGGATCCGTCATCTCACTCCTGAGATGTTAATATTCTAATTACTATTAGCATAGTATTATTAATAATGTTCTAATATGCCAGTGCTCTTTACCCTGACAATTTAAAATTCTACCTCTACCACAAAGAGTATATACAAAAGGCATCTATTATAACTCATAATTAGTATAGTTAAAAATTAGAAAATATATCAAGTATTGTAAGACCCTATACTATGCTTTTACTTTTATGAAAAATACACATTTTTAATGTTTGGTGTTTGGAGCTGTATTTTCCCATTGTTTAAATGATAATATATTCTGCAATGAACACTTACTCCTTCTTAAAGTTAAAAACATTAAAATCAGATAATAACAGGCAACACTGTTCCTGAGACCTTTGTTAGTCAAAAATATTAGGAAAATATTGTGGGCCAGAATGCTTATCATCATAACAGCAAAAATCTAGAAAAAATAACTTTAAAAACAAAAAAATTGTTAAATATCATCCATTCTACAGAAACCTTAAGGCTACAAAAGAGATGGTAAGAGATTTTACCTATTACATAGAAAATGCTTATGATGTATGAGGTAAAAGAAACTGGATTATATTCTCCACAAAATGCACCAAATGTGTGGTTACATGTACATGTGTAAATAAGTGACATATGCTAAAAACAACTAGAATTAAAAGCCAGTTGATCAAAAGACAACAGTGGTACCTTTGACAGTTTTTTTCCAGTGTCTCATTTCCCAGGGAGCTGTGACTTGACTTTCTTTCTTTCTTTCTTTCTTTCTTTCTTTCTTTCTTTCTTTCTTTCTTTCTTTCTTTCTTTCTTTCTTTCTCTTCCTTCCTTCCTTCCTTCCTTCCTTCCTTCCTTCCTTCCTTCCTTCCTTCCTTCCTTCCTTCCTTCCTTTCTCTCTCTCTCTCTTTCTTTCTCTCTTCTTCTCTTCCTCCTCCTCTTCTTTTTAGGTTTTTTTGAGATAGGATTTCTTTCTGTAGTCTTGACTGTCCTGGACTCATTTTGTAGACTAGGCTGACCTCAGACTCACAGACATCCTCCTGCCTCTTCCTCCCCAAGTGCATCACTGTGGTTGGCTAAAGCTGTGATATTTCCATAATATTGCTCTTGAAACATGTTAGACTCTCATTTACTTTTCATTTTATGTGTATATTTTCTGAGTGTATGCTCCTGTGTGTAAGGGTGCCCAAGGGCGCTGTATCCCTTGGACCCAGAGTTAAAAAAGGCCATTGTAAGCTGGGAACAGGGAACTGAGCTCAGGTCTTCCGGAAGAGCAGCAAGAACTCCTAACTGCTGAGGCAGCTCTCCAGCCCCAACTTCATTTCTTAGTGAATGCTGAATTAATACCCACAGGCAAAAGTAATGGCTTCCTTGTCTATGTCCCTGGAAGGCTTGGCTTATATAGTCAACTAATCTATCCAGTAGGCACACAGGGCCTGCTTCACACATCCTGGCCGGTGACATTCACATCGCTGCAGACAGCCGACTAGACAGTGGCCCACTTGGATTTGAACCTGAGCCCACTTACCTTTTTACTGATAGGGCCTAACACAAGCTATATCAGAGAGGGTATTTGGAAAGTTTTGAAGCTGAATTAAATAAAATTTACAAAATGCCAGTTTGGGAATGCTAATGGTTCATTATGTCTTACTTCTGAATATAACAATTAAATGCTATTCTCACAATACATTTGTGCCCACTCCCTTTCTGTCACTCTGGGAGCCACTGGGAACTGGCTCAGCAGCATACTGAAAAACTGCATTACTGCATCCTACCAAGGGATAATGTGACAACAATGGAATTTATAAACATTTTTCTTAAGTCCTTTCATAAGAAAAAAACAAAACATGAAAGAAATGCTTCTTTTTCGTCCTGGCCGGTCCTGAGCATCTTAGACAGACGCAATCAATGCTCAGACCTCAGCACCAAGGACTTACTCACTCCTGACCTTACCTACAAATCATTTTATGTTCTCAAGTACAGAATTCACAGTTCTCTTATTTTATCCTCAGCTAGCATAAACTGGAGGTGTTTTTCTTATTTATAAAAATGTTTTATCCTTTATAAAAATGCTTAAGCTATTTTTATATAGTGATTATTCCTGGAAAAAAAATGCTTTACACTTAAAAGGGGGCCACAGTGCCGATCAGGAGGAACCCGTAATTGCTTGCAATCCACCTGCAATGATTTCAAGTAGGCAGGCACATCTCCAATTTCTCAGAATTGTGCTAAGATCTTATTTGCTGTTCTTCCTAATCTGTCTTTATTTTTCTTTTACCCAGAACAATACCATTTATTTCTGCCTGGCCTCATTTATGCACAGATATTCAATTTAATTACAAAGATAATCTCACCAGTGACAGAAAAATAGGTAGAAAATTGGTCTTGTGGATGAGGCACAGCTGCTTCAGAAACAATTTTAGAAAAGCTTAAGATTTGAGAAAAGCTATTATAGGAAAAGAATGCTTACTGTTTATTCATTTCAAGAAAGTGAAAAAGATTGAATGTGACCATTCCACTGGGTAACACTCCTTCCACAGGGTTCCATCGGTCCCCAGGAAAGTGCACTCCTGGCAAATGCCTTGCCATCTTGGGTAAGTACCACTCGTAAGTCATCATCTGTCGGAAAGATCACACAAGGAGCCATACCTCAGTGCAAGCGGCAAAGTCTCAGGTTCACCAACAGCCATGGGAAGGTTCCAAAATGAGGATATACTTGTTAAATAATTGGGAAAAAAACACAGTCAGGCAAATTGAGGAATATGGCACTGCTATTCCTTTAAGAATGACTTAATTCTTAGGTTTAATGTCTTACGAGATGACCAGTACCAATGACTATCATCAGTACTTGTCCTATTTCACCTTCATGCATTTGCAAACTCCCAGATTATGATCCCCAATCTTAGACCTAGAGAAATGAACTTGATTTTCAGAACCAGCAAAGACACAGCCCTTGGAAGGCCATCCATCTTCCTAGCCTCTGTACCTACCTCTGGTATAATTCTAGGCCTACTCCTCACTAGCCTGAGCTCCCAGGAGGAAGTGACTATCTTTTCATCTCTGTGCAAACCTCTTTTCTTGAGGTCCCACCGTTTGCTAATCAGGCTGATGGCCAGCTCAGCTGGGTTAGTCATATATTCCTTCAGGATCAAGAGTGTCTCTTTCCTCCAAAGACTACTCTAAAAGCTGGATTTGCTTTCTTTTAGGCATTTATGATTAAAATAATAAATCTTATAATTAAATGTAGTTGGTGGTTCAGCTATTTGCTTTGCTTTTTAACTTGTTTCTTTTCAGACAGTCTTGTGTATAGGAGGCTGGCCTTGACCTCTATGAGTAGCTAAGGATGACCTTTAACTTTTGATCATCCAGCTTTTCCTCCTAAGTGTTGGGATTATAGGTGTGCACATTTGTATCCAGTGATGTGGTGCTGTTACGTTCCCAGTCCAGGAAAACTGTTTTAAGTAATCACTTTCTTAAAAAAAAAGCCTTAATTTAATTTCTGTGTATGGGTATGTCTGTCCCACATACATGTATGGTACCCACAGAAGACAGAAGTAGGTATTGGGTTGGATGGCTGTGAGCTGCCACGTGGTGCTGAGAATACAGCTGGGTCCTCTGGAAGAGCAGACAGAAGGGGCCTTAACAGCTGAACCAGCATCCATTCAGCTGCAGACAGAGTAGTTTTTACAGGTCCCCTCCTAACATATTTCTTTCATAGGATCAATACTTCATATAAAAATTCTATAGCAGTGTTGTAATTAATAATTTCTAATTTAAGTAAAATATTTACTTGACCAGTTTTTTTTTTATTTAACTAATTTAATTTTCATAGTGTGCAATGGTATTGCTTGGTGAGCTGGCTAAATATAAAGACTTAGTCTATTACTTGACTCTAAAATGAAACAAATTGATGAAACAGTTTAAATGAGGAAGAAGCAAGTTATAAATTAGCCCAACATACACAAGACTGTGATATATCCATTCTGAGAATGATTATGGCTGGTGGTAGACACCGGTAATCCCAGTACTTGAGAGGCCAAGGCAGGAATATGGTCAATTCCAGGCTACCTTTGTCTATACTGGGAGGCTCTGTTAAAAGCAAAAACCCAATTTCCTCTCCCCATAGAAAACCCATGAAAAAGAATGATTATGAAAAGGATACCCAACCACATTACAGAAAAAAATAATGCTTATCTATCTGTTTATCTGCATGTGATCATACTATTTGCCCAGACTGGTTTCAAACTCTTGGACTCAAGCCACAGGCATATGATACTACGAATGACGCGTTTTAAAGTTGCTATATACACTGCTAGGTAGAGTCTCATAACCAAACCTTGGGCAGAGTGCAGGGAATCGTTTGAAAGAAGGGGAAGTTAGTATGACCTAGAGAGAGGAGCTCCACAAGGACCAAATATATCTGGGAACAGGGGTCTTTTCTGAGACTGTTTCTCCAACCAAGGACTATGCATGGATATAACGTAGAACCCCTGCTCCAATGTAGCCCATGGCAGCTCAGTATCCAAGTGGGTACCCTAGTAAGGGGAACAGGGACTGTCTCTGACATGAACTCAATGGCTGGCTCCTTGACACCCCCCCCCTCCCCCGAGGGAGAAGCAGCCTTGCTAGGCCACAGAGGAGGACATTGCAGCCAGTCCTGAAGAGACCTGATAAGCTAGGGTCAGATGGAAGGGGAGGAGGACCTCCCCCATCAGTGGACTTAGAGAGGGGCAGGGAGAAGTTGAGGGAGGGAGGGTGGGATTAGGAGGGAATGAGGGAGGGGGCTACAGCTGGGATACAAAGTAAATAAACTGTAACTAATATAAAAAAATAAAAATTTAATTAACAAGAAGTTGCTATATGTAGACAACGTTTTTCATATACTTACTTCTTGATCCACTAGTGAAACATCTGGCCTCAACCCCTCACAGTAATGCAAGTAACGGAGAGAATTCCCTGGCAAATCTCCTCTGAGTAAGATGATTGCATCATGAGGCATGGAGTCCAAAAGATTTCGTGCAAACTGATCAATCACATTATTGCTTCTTTGGTCACAAATGCTAAATAAAAAGATTTTTCCAAATTAAAACAGCAGAACATTCTCATAGTTTTAATGGGCCTGGCTCCTTTCCATGCTTTCCTGTCACTCCAGGCATCTGTACTCAGTGCTTCAGAGTTCCCACTAGCTGCCCTCTGAGAAGGCACACACACTTAGTACAACAGTTTAATAGCTCAGCTTTTTGTTTGTCTGAGACAAGGTTTCTCTGTGTAGCCCTGGCTATCCTGGAGCTCATCCTGTAGACCAGGCTGGCCTTGAACAGTGATCTGCTTGCCTCTGCTTCCTGAGTGAAGGCATATGCCACCATGCCTGCCAGGCATCATGTCTGCTTCTTTAGATGGTGCTAACTGAAACTAAAAGAGAAGGAAATGCCTAACGCATGGCTTCTACCAGTTTATGATCATGTCTACGAAAAGCAAAGTCTGTTCTCAAGTGTAATTCTCCACCCCAAGAAATCCAATTTCAGTTAACAAAAGTAGTTTCTCACTACCTAGAATTAAGGTAATTTCATCTTAATTCCTTTTCCTCCCGAAGAGTAGTCAGAAATACAAGAGGAAATCTGCTGACTTCTGACAAGAATTCACATAGCACTGAGTGACGGCGGCATACGCAGTGTGGAGGCCTCCCACCACCTCTCCCACTTCAAGGCTTCCTGAGGTGCCCTTTCCCTGGGGTCAGGGGAGTCACTGGGGACGAGGCTGAGAAGGAGGTGAAGGTACATTCACTGAGCTGTCTGTATGGTAGCTGTCATCTACCAACACTAACTACCTCAGCAAAGCTCAAGAATGAAGTGGGCTTTCTGATGTCAAAGAAAAGGTGAATGAGTTCAGAGAAAAGAGAAGCAGAGGGAAAAAGCACCACAATGTAACAGAATAAAAACCAAGCAATGCCATTCCCTGTAATTCCTTGTCTTCCTATCCATCTGTCTGCTGGAATGAGGAGGGGCTGAGTTTAACCACTATCTTGGTATCAGAAAGCAAAGGAGCTCTTCTAGAACAGAGGCCACCCTGTCCTTACAGGCCAGAGACCAGTGGCTCCTTCCCACCAGACAGACCCTTTATTTTGCTTGAGAGAACTCATATTTTGCTACCAGGGAAGTTGCTTTTTGGTTCATTTTCTGGGGCAAATAAAAGAACAAAGTGGACAAACCATCCAGCCTGTGCGTATCAGCAGTGCTGAGCCTGGGCACCCCTCAGAGACCTGAGCCAGGAGAAGATAGACACAAAAGACTGAGACAGGGCGGGACAAGGCTGGAATGCATGTGGCTTAGAGTCATCTCCCTGGGGCCTCAGGTGGGGTATGTAGCGCATTTCACAGGTAAGGCAATGAAGGCTTCCTAATGAGGCCTCCAGCCTGGAAGTCTACAGAGCCTTGGTATTAAAGTGAGGCTGTAAGGGATCCTGCAGACGATGACCCCCTAGAGGCTGCCTCTCTGAGGGGTGGGAAGGGTTAATTCAGAATAAGAAAAACCAGACTTTATCCCAAAGACAGAAACAGAGAAGGAACTTTGGAAATCTACAAAGAAAGTAAAAAGGCACTGGAAAAGGGCGGAAGCAAAGACATGTGGCACCAAAAAGCTAGCAGAAGAGTCATGGCTGCTCAGTGCCCTGATGAGGGCTGGGCTCAGATGCTACTTCCAAAGGTAAGCCAGGCACAACCTGGCAGCCTACCCTTAGGAAAGCCCACAGGCCTCAGGAACCTCAAATCCAGGTACTTTTGGTGAGACAGTAACTGCTTCAGCAAACGAATCAGCTGAGAAGAAAAACCCCATTTTGTCATCTTATATGACTCAAAGGTCATGGCTGGGCACTGTCTGGACAGGAAATCCAACTCTTAAAAGTCTGACCTACCCTGTGAGCTAGAGATAGAACACCCACAAGCCGGGGGTCTTAACTTGACCTGCCACAGCCTGTGGGTGGGGGAAGGCTGAGACAGGCAGCTGCAGAGAGGTGGACAGACACTGAAAATTCAAGTGGCAGGAAGCTGGGGCTCAGGTTGGGGAATGGCAAGGAAGAGGGTGGGATGGAAGGGAGAGGGAGGGAGTGTGCTTACATCAGGGACAGAACCCACCAACAGAATTACCCTGGAATCTGGTAGCTCTAAGTCTGTGTCAAAATCTGAACCCATCTCTTTTTTGTTAATTGCAGTAGAGCCTTCCAACTCTGAGGTTCCAGGGGTGTGCATGACACAGCTGCACCCCCACCAGGAAGACATACTCGGAAGGCTGGGACAGCAGGAAGGGCCTGGGCTCATGTCAGTGCTGTGGCTGTTTTCCATGTTGCCAAGGTATGTGGGAGACACTCCTGCCTCCAGGGAGTATCGTTGGGGGAGTGTCAGGGTAAGAGAATCTTCCCAGCACAGACTGTAAAGCCAAGTGTGGCCAGCAGAGGGCCCTGACACACAAAGAAGGAAAATGGCTGCTGGAAGACAGCTCTGGGGAACACTGGACACTTGTTCAACACAGACTGTTCAGCAACATATCTAAGGAAATTCAGGACCCTGCCCCCATGCACAAGCACAAGTCTCCAGTTCTCAAGGACCCCCCAAAAGAGACTGATAGAACACCATATCTCCAACCCCACACGACTACTTTCTCTTTTTCCTATACATGTAGCAGTATTTTTACTGTCTTTTAAGAATCCTCAGATATTTTTAATGGGCTGGCGAGATGGCTCAGAGGGTAAAGACTTGCGGCCAAGCCTGATGACCTGAGTCTGACGCCTGGTACCCTGAGAGATGATGGAAGGAGGGAACCAGCTCCTTCAAGTTGTCCTCTACTCTCCACACTCATGCTGTGGCAGTGCATACCACCCCCCAAGGAGAGATAAATAAAATACAATGTACTTTAAATATCTGAAGAGAGGACTTGAAATGTTTTTACTTGTTATCCCCTTTACACGGTCATAAACTTTTGTTCCCATGCTTTTCCACTGGCAGCAACACATTTTCTTTTTCTTAGCTTATTTTTATCCCCACTCCCTCTGTTTGATATCATTAGCTTTTAAAGAATTCTCTTATGTTTTTATCCCTTCTCACATGTGTCTAATTTCTGACTTGAGCTTCTTCACTACTAAGGAAACCTTGTTGCTGTCTCTTCTCCACTTCCCTTCCTCTTTGTCCTTTCCTTTATTTAATCTGGAAACTTGGTTGCTGTTTCTTCTCCACTTCCCTTCCTCTTTGTCCTTTCCTTTATTTAATCTGGTACCCACCCCTTTTGTCTTCTTGGTTTCTTTCCTTTACCATTTCACACTTATTCTAAATAATTGTTACTTAATTGTCCAGTCACCATAGTCTTGTCATTTTTTAGCTCTATGGTCATTGTCAATGTTGTAGTGGACTTAGTGATTTAGATGTTCTCATTTGTTCTATGTGGTTTGATAGTGCTGCTGCTTCTGCAGCTGTTGCTCCTCGCTGGGAGAGTGGACTTCTCACCAGGATCCTCCCCCAAATCCAGGAAAGCTAGACACACCAATAGTTATATAAGTTAATTGTAGAAATTAAAGAAAACATGAAACATCAAAACAACATAATCCCCACAAAAGATCATAATTCCTCCACCACTAAACTCAAAGATACTGAGATAAGTGAAATGCCAGGTAAAGATTTCAAAAGTTTTCCGGTGACAATGATTATCCAAGAAGATATCAACAAGCAGAAGAATTTAATCTACAACCTAGAAAAGAAAGTCAGCAATTCAGAGGAAAGAGTAAACAAAAAAGATGAAAACATGGGCTACATGAAAGAAACATTCAGCAAGAAAACTGAGATTTGGGAGTGGTTGGGAAGGGTGAAGAGATTAAAAAGATTGAAAGAGAAAACCTCAACGAATCAAATAAAAGCATGATGGAAAACCTCGCTAGTAGATTTTCCCACTCAAAAGAAGGATCATTAGAAATGGAGGTCAAGGTTGATGAAATGTGGCATTTAAATATCATTAAGGACAAAATATAAACAAACTTGAGCACAATATCCATGAACTCTGGAATACAATCAAGAGGCCAAATCCAAGAAGCCGAAGATGGAAGGAGATGAAGCAATAAACACTAAAGGCCCAGGAAACCTATTTGATGAATAGTTTTATATTTGAATTTGTAGCAGGACAGTCCCCAAACTAGAGAAAGAAATGAACATTCAAGCACAAGTAGCACCTAGAATCCATATATACATGACCACAGAAGCACCTCTCAGAAACATTAAAGGCAGGACGTCAAAGTTCAAAGCAAAGAAACAACAACACAAGCTGTAAAGGGAACATATCAACTCACCCATAAAGGTAGGTAGAACCATCAGAATAACATCAGCTCTGCATCAACAACCCTCAAAGCCAGAAAAGCATGGAACGATAGCTTTCAAGCTTCTAAATAACTGCCAAACAAGGCTGCTCTAAAATATAAAGAAATCACAGCACTGGGGAGGCAGAGGCAGGCAGATCTCTGAATTTATGGCCAGCCAGGGCTATAGAGAGGAACCCTGTCTGAAAAAATACACCAACCAACCAACCAAATAAAATCAATGAAAAAATAAAATTTCAAGGAAAGCACAAACTAACAGAGTTCATGACTGCCACACAGCCAAAGAAGCTTAGAAACTACACACAGTAAAAGGAGAAAGACACACTGGTCAGTAGACCCAGAGATCCAATGGAAGGAAGGAAGTGGAAGCAAGAAAAGAAAAGAAAACGCTAGCATAACTATCCTGATGTTTAATAAAATTGACTTCAGACCTAAATTAGTCAGACAAGGAAGGCTACTGATTATTAATAAAGAGAGCAATTCCTCAAGATGAAACAACTGTAAACATATATGAATCACATGTTAGAGAAGGGTCTCAATTTCAAAAACAAGCATGAATAGGCATAAAAGTCCTGAGACAATGACATAAGATGAGTCTAACATTCCACTGCCACTGCTAAAAACATCCAAACTAAAAAAACAGCAGGAAATGCCACAGGTAAACTACACCAGAGATCAAATGGACTTAACAGATAATAAATGCAACAAAATCAGAACACATTCATTTCAAGCAACTCATGAAAACTTCTCTAGAACAGCTCATATTCTAGATCATAAAATCAAGTATAAATATAAAATACAACCAAATACCAAATACAAAAAAACAAAACTCCTCTGATATGTATTAGATCACAGCATAATAAAACTGAAAATCAATACTAAGAAAATTTACAGAAGCCACAAAGATGTGGAGATTGAACATTATCACACTCTTGATGAACAGTGGGTCACTCAAGAAACTAGGATGTAATGAAAAAGTTCCTGGAATTAAATAAAAATGAGCACACAGATATCCGAACTTTTATAGAAAGACTGACTAACTTATAGCCAAACCTACCCAAAAAGGGGGGGGGGGGTAGAGAGACTGATCAACTGAAATTAATATAATTTGAACTGAAAAGGGGAAGATTACTACAGATCCCAACTAAATCCAAAGAATCACTAGACAGTACTTTGAAAACTTATTTTAAAAAATTAGAAAAATCTAGAAGAAATAGAAAAATTCCTAGACACACATAGTCTACCAAAATTAAATCAAGAGAACATCAGCTTAAATAGGGCCATAAAAACTGCTGAGATTGAAACAGTAATAAAAATCCTACTGTCAAACTGTAATCCCCAGCACTCAGGGAGGCAGAGGCAGGCAGAACCTCTGTAAGCTTGAGGCCAGCCTAGTCTATAAAGCAAGTCCAGTAGTCAAGGCTATACAGAGAGACCCTGTCTCGAAAAAAACAAAACAAAACAGAACAACAAAACAGTCCTGTCCACATGGATTGACTGGGGGCATATTCTACCAAACCTTTAACAACTAATGTTCCAAACTGGCTTAGTAGAAAAGAGCACATAGCGCTTTTTGAGAGCACCCACACTGGGCGGCTCACAAACCCCCGCAGCTCTGGCTCTAGAGTGATCCAGTGTCTCTAGTTCCTGTGGTCACTGCACTCACATGCATATATATCTCCATATAGACATACTTTAAAAAAATACATCTTTTAAATTCTTAGAAATTGAATTCAAGAACACATTAAGAAAATCACGAACCATGGCTGAGTTGTTTTAACCCTAGAGATGTAAGTCTGTTTCAACGTACACAAATCAGTAAGTATAATTTAGCCCATTAAGACTTAGGCTGGAGAGATGGCTCAGTGGTTAAGAGCACTGTCTGCCCTTCAAAAGGACCCGGGTTCAATTCCCAGCACCCACATGGCAGCTCACAACTGTCTGTAATGTCAATTCCAAGGGATCTGACACCTTCACACTAATGCACATAAAATAAAATTAAATTTAAAAAAAAAGACTTAGGGGAAAAAACTGTATGATCATCTTAATTGATGCCCAAAAGTCTTCATCAATGTTCAACATTTCACCATAAAAAAGCCATAAAGTCATAAAGAATAGAAGGAACATACCTCAACATAATAAAGGCTATATATAACAAGCCTTTAGGCAATATTATACTAAGCAGGGAAAAACTGAATTTCTTCTACAAACTACAAGACAAGGATGCCCACTCTTTCTAGTCTTATTCAATATAATTCTTGAAGTCTTAGCTAGAGCAAATATACATCAAAAAGAAGTCAGTTTATCCCTATATGCAAACAACATGATCTTGTATTTAAAAGACTCTAAAGACTATCAGAAAATTCTTAGACCTGATAAAACACTTTCAGCAAAGTATCAGGATACAAAATCAGAATAGAAACACTCTCAGCTTTTTACACACCAATAATAAACTTTCTGAAAAAAAAAAAACAGTAAAAAAAAAAATCACCATTCACAATCATTTTTTTAAAAATGTCTAGGAATATAATCAAGGAGGTAAGAGACTTCTACAAACACCGGAAAAGACACCAAATAACTTCAAGGAGATGCTGGAAGACAGAAAGCCCTCCCATGCTCATAATTAAGCAGAGTTACATGAAAATGGCTATAGTATCTGAAATGATCAACTTATTCAGCATAATCCCTGCCAAAACTCCAATGACTTTCTCCACAAAATTAGAAAAAAGTCCTAAAATCAATACAGAAGCACAAAGGACCCTGAATAACCAAACAATACTAAGCAGAAAGAACAATTGCTGGAGCTGGCACAATACTGGTGTCATTACTGAGCCATAGTCAAGACAAAACATGGTATTGGAACAAGAACAGACAGTAGGACAGAAAGAATATCCAGAAATAAATCCACACCATGATAGCCACCAAATTTTGATAAAGCTATCAAAAACAAACTTGAAAAAAAAGCTAGCCTGCTTAACATGATGCCAGGAAAACTAGATTTCTGAATCGTAAGAATGAAGCTAGATCTATCTTCTTCCCCCACCCCCAACAGAAACAATTTAAAACATATCAAAATCCTTGATGTAGGATTTCAGATGTAGAAACTGCTAGCAGAATAAACAAGTATGACATTTCACAATATAGGCACAGGCAAGGATTTTCTGAACCAGGTCCATTAGCACTGGAAATAATGCCAAGAGGTGACAAGTGGGATTACATGAAATTAGCAATCTTCCATACAGCAAAGGAAACAATCAGAGTAGAGAAGGAAAAACAATGTTGACCAAACTTCACATCAGACTGAAGAGCAATATACAAGGTATAAAGAACTGCAATCAATAAATTGAACACACAGTTTTCAAATATTGAAAAAGTGTCTAGCAGCCTTAGCCATGAGGGAAATGCGAAATTAAAACAGCTCAGACCAGTGGTTCTCAAGCTTCCCAATGTTTTGATATAGTTCCTCATGTTGTAGTGATGCCCAATCATAAAATTACTTTTGTTGCTACTTTATAACTTTAATTTTGCTATCGTTATGAATCTTAATGTAAATATTTTTGTTTTCTGATAGGTGCCCTGATGAAAGGATCACCTGGTGCTCCAACGGGGTTGTGACCTACAGGTTGAGACCCACTGACTCAGACAGTCTCTCTCACCCTAGTCAGAACTGCTATCACTAAGGAAACAAACAATAAGTGTCAAGGATCCAAGGATAGAGGAATCTTCATTCATGCTTAGAAAGCAAACTTGTGCAGCCACAAAGGACATGAGTATGGCAGGTCCTAAAAGCTGCAAACAGAACTACTGTATTACCCAGCTGCACCCCTCCTGAGCACGTAACCAAAGGGAGGGCTCTACGATCACAACAGACACGCGCGCATGTCTGTGTCTGTAGCTGCACTATGCACTAATCATGAGATGGAACGAGCATCACCCACCGACAGGCAGGTGAAAAATCAAGTTATTGTACACACACACACTGGGATTTCATACAGCGATAGAAATCAAATTGTGACATTTGCGGGAGAATAAACACAACTGTTAATCACTATGATAAAATACTCAGAAAGATAAGTACTGTAGTTTTCTATCATAAGTGGATCTTAGATTTAAAATAATGTGTGTGCGTGCATATGCATGCACATATGTATATGTATGTATAAATGTATGTATGCATGTATGTGCATATGCATGTTATGCACATATGTATTGTAGCATGTACACATCTATGCATGTACACATCTATGTACATACATATGTGTATATACATGCAAGAATGTATTATGTATATGTGTGTATATATTTGTAAATCAAGAAATGAGAGGTCATGAGAGAGGAGCAGAAACTTTTTTCATTTAATTTTAATTTACTCATTTTACATCTGTCGTAGCCTCTCCCTCCTTTCCTCCCAGTTACACCGTTCCTCCCTGTTTCCCCATCTCCCCTCCCATACTCCTCAGAAAAGGGCAGCCCCCAGCCCAGCATATCCAGTTGCATCAGGACTGATGACATCCTCTTCCCCCGTGGAAAAAGAGTTCTTCGGAAAAGTGAAAAGTACAATGGACAGAATTACCTAGATGGGGAGGCACAGGGAAAGCAGCAGAGAAAGGAGACGTGAGAGCAAAGTGCACTGCATGGCATGAAGATGCCGGACAAAGCCCACTGCTCGTATGCTACCCTAAAGAATTCATTTAAATTCATTAATTTATTTGAGACAGGGTCTCACTATGTAGCGTTGGCTGTCCTGGAACACTCTATGTAGACTAGGATGTCCTTGAACTAACAGATATGATGGTCTTCTGCCTTCCAAGTGCTGGGATTAAAGGCATGTGCCACCATAACTAATAAGAATTAATTTAAAAAAGTTAACTTGCAAGAAGAAATTCAGTCTTTTAAAACTACAATATTCCAAAACTGCTGCAAGAAATCAGTTAAAGAGCTCTTTCTTCTACTTTTGTGACTTGATACTGCTATAAATAAACTGTCATTTAATACTTTAACAATTTTTCAGTTATTCTGAGGTTTTCATTGCAAGATTATTTAAAATGTCTTTTAAAATCTATAATACTTATAGGCTGTGATAGTTAATTTTCAGAACTTAACTTTAAACTAATGAATACACTGCAAGGTTAATTGGAAAAGGACCAGGTATTATTCAAAAGATACAAAGTTTGAAGTATAAAGGGAATTATTTTAGGACAGTCAAGAACCCCAAATCTCTTAATTCTCTATTTACGAGTATTTGAATCGTGAAATTTTACATATACCCAGATTCTTTCTTGTATTTCTTGAGTTCTTTATTGGCAACTGCATGGCTTCCACTCTTGTTTGTGATAGCCTTAAGCTACTGGCCAGAGCTTAACAGATGTGAAAGCTTCCCAAACCAGGCATGCCACTCAGCTGTTTTCATTGGCTAGTCTTAGAAATGAGAAGAAAAAGCCCAACAGTCATATAATCTACACGGCCCAATGTCTCTGGTGTAAGTACCACTTTTCAGAAAGATAACTGTATGCTGTTACCTGTAATTTGAGTATATTTGATAAGCAACAAAAAGAGTTGCTGAAAGCCACTCCATATTCTGGATCCCGCTGCAGCCCAGCACTCGTTTAGTCTCAGACACAAGCGTGGCCAAACCAAGGCCAGCGAGAACTGCCACCACTGCGTTGCTCTGCATCCAGAATCGTTCCACCTGGGAAGGAGACATGCAAACAGTATGTTCAGTAGACAGGTTTATGTGATCAGGCAGAACTTACATATTTGAAAACAACATTTATCACTTACACTTAGCTGCTTATACCTGTTATCATCAGGCCTTGTTAATTCACTTCTCCAGCCCAGTCCTAAGTCATTTGATTTTCCAGTTTTCCAGGGTTCCTCCTTCTTAATTTGGCATGTGCCCACACATTCACCCCAGAACCATAGGCTTCATCTCCACCCCAGCCATATGTAGGTGGAAGAGATAAAGAAATGGCTTGGCTTTACTCTGGGGAGAAATGCTTCCTCCTGCCCCCTCCCTGAGGCCTTCTGTAGATGACGGGGGACTAATCGATAGAGAACTGGCAGCTTGCAGTGTGCCTCTCTGTTTCTCTTGGAAGCGAGCCCCCCCAGAAGTCCTGGTTCACAGCGGACTCTCCTGGAGGACCCCTGGGTGTGGCTAACTGGAGGGCATCACTGCTTATAAGCGGTGACTAGGTCTGTCTGCTGTCAAGTCAGCCCAACAAAGCCCTGCTCTCAAGAAGAAGTTGCATTCTCCAGTCTCAGCACCCCACACTAAAGGTGATCCCTGCTAGCTGAGAGCAGCTCGTCTTCTTTCTCATTTGGTTCAAAGCTCAGAGAGTCAAGTAGAGCACCATTTCTTTATTACGTTTCATGAGCATACAATTAGAAAACCAGGTGAGGTAGGCTTTCAAAGAGTCTACTTTACATCTATGGTTTCTAGTGTGAGAACTAATAGAAGCAGGGATGATGGCTCATGAGTGTGGTCCTGGCACTGAGGAAGCGAAGGCAGGAAGATAGTGAGTTCACTATAGATAGAAAGACTGGGCTATGGAGAGACTTTGTCTCAAACAAAATAAAACACAAACAAATCTCCTTATCCCAATCCCAGAGATGGTTGCCAGGAAAGGCACAGCGTCATGCTGGAGTGCGCAGACTTGAGGAAGGTGGCATAAGGAGGCACGGTGGGAGCGCACTCTCTTCCCCTTAATTCATACTTCTTTTGGCATTCTAAAAAGAATTCCAGGCAAAACATGTGCAAGAATGCACACACAAAACTGAGTCTATCTTGGGTTTTTTTCTTTCTATTTCACTACTCCGTTAAGTGAATCGTATATTTGTTTGCTTGCTTGCTGTGTTGAGACAGGATCTCATGTAACTCTCAGGATGGCCTTGAACTTACTACATAACAGAGGCTGGACTTGATCTCCTATCCTCTTGCTGCAGCTTCCCTAGTGTTGAGATTCTGTGTGTACATATAATATATATATATAATATAACATATAAATAAATACATAGAATAAACATTATATATATTTACTATTTCTGAAAAAGTTTCTCTTTAACATGGTTTGTGAAAAGAAAATTTGTACAATATTCACAGATTTACTGCTTACGAAATATATCAAAGAAAAACTTACCACACCCATGAAAAGTGGTTTTGAAATATCTAAATTTGCTCTCCAAGCAAAGAATAATGAATAAATGCAAAGCATTCCAGTGAAAAGCCATACTATTGAAGACTTCCGTCTGTCCCTACAAAAACCAAAATGTGTCCAAAATTATCTAATTGTATGAATATCAATAATATACATACCTTTAAAGCACAAGGGAATATCTGTAGCTTCAAAACTTTCTAGTTTTAAGAAGAAAAAACAAAATTTTCAAAATCTCCATGAAATAGCTGATGCCAGAATGGTAGCAGACACAATTATACACTGTAGCCATGTTAACTTGTTACGGTGCAGCAGCAGATAGGAACTCACAGAAAATACACACTAGCATTCTTGTCAAATGAGAGACGTCTTCAAACATGTGCAAATACAAACACATTTTTATGCTCAACAATAAAGGTTTAAAATGGCAAATTTCAAAGTAAGAATTGAGCAGTGGCATGATAAAGCACATAACTGCAGTCCTTGAAAAAAGGTAATTTGTTAATCTTTATTAATATCCTTAATACAATCACTGACTCAGCAAACTGGCATTCAGACATTTGTCTTCAAGCAAAACCAGAAACACAAACACACATCAACCTGTGAGTGCTTCAGTACCACTTACAATAGAGGAAAAGTGGAAGCCATCTAATGAGCCTCCAACAGAACACTCCGTTTCCCAGCACATCTGCCGACACAGCTCAGCCCTGTGGCGGAACACTTGCTAAGCATGTACAAGGCCCAGGGTCCAACCCCCAGCACCACAAACAATACGTAAGTTAATTTTCCCACCATTAAAGGGTGCACTGGATCATGTAGACACCTAAACAATCTACGGGCTTGTCTTTGGTGTGGGAAACATCATCTTATGATGTTAACTGTTAAGCAGACTGAATTATAGATATACTTGTCTTTACAAATAAATACAGGCAACAGAACAGAAAGCAAATGGATAAAAATAAACAGGGTTTTATCAAGCTATCGGTATCCACCACCATGCTCAAGAAAAAGTGTTTTTCTTTCTTTGCTTTGCTTTTTTTTTTTTTTTAATTATTGGAGGAATTATATAGTTGCAGGTTTCTTTTGCAAGCCAACAATAATGTTCAGCTATGGGCAGAGTAATGGACAAAATCCAAGTCTTGAGATTATCAATTTTTTCAAGTCACTTATTTGTAATCATAAGACAAAATAAGACATCAAGAAACAGTACACATATTGCCTTAATATCAGGAGGCAATACCTTATATTGCCTTATATTTATTCTAAATATAAGGTATATAAAAATAATACCTTATATTTATTCTAAATATAAGGTAATGCTGGCAACACTCTACAGTGACATATGAAACACAGATTCAACATAAAATAGCAGCATTACTTACTTTCTAGCTAAACATATATTTGCCCAAACTGCAAGAGCTTGGATGTTGAATGAAAGTTCGGTCTTCATATTTATTATTTGTGAGCTGAAAATAAAAACAAAAACCAAAGTACTTTATTGTTGGCATAATAGAAGTTCAGTGAATTTCAAATAAAATATTTTTACCAATAAAACAAACATTCTATTATACACTAAACTGCTCTAAGGACTATTTTAAAGTTATTTTTTTCTCTTTTAAATTTTGAAGAGGGGTTAGAAGTATCATTGAAAAAACCAAAAAATTCTAAGATTTATTGATGGTAGTATTTGGTTCTCAGCACATATAATTTAGGACTGACAGTATAAGATTTTCCTAATGGCTTAGATGAGAAGTTATTTTGAAAGGAATGCTAGACAGCTTCTGTTGTCACTGGTGATTTAGCAACTGAAATAAAAATTAATTTAAACTGTTTTCTGAAGAGCCAACTATGAAGGGGAAAAAGGCCAAGAGAAGGATTTACCATTCTTCCTGGGTTTTCTACATTGTTTTGGGAAATGTTTAAGCAATCTCATAGAAATGTGTTCATCGTACTTTGTATAATTGAGCTAAGTTCTTCCATTAACTAACAAGCATTTTCAAATGCTGAGTCCTAAAACTGCCACACTATTTAACTTCTATAAAAAGAAATAAATATATACACTATGGAAAATTCATTTTCCCTACTGGCAATTTTCCTGGAGAAAATGTGATGCCATAATTATGGGAGCCATACAATGAACATTTACTAATGGAGACACATCCTCTGTGAGAAGGTACCCTCTCTCATTTACAAATATACTTGAAAAATTGATTGGTGTGAGGTCCATTTCTTCAAAAGAAATGAAGTCAGTCTCAAAATTAATTCTTAGAGAGCTGTTGCTTAAATGTGAACTCTAAAACATGTCCACTGCCTAAGGTTAGATTCAGTAATTTCCTTATCCAGAATTGCGCTTTAGAGACATGGCTGGGGAAAAAATTTCATTTTGCTTGACTGAAGAAGGGTAGATGACTGCGTTTCCCCATGCTGAAGGCTTTTCTGACAAGCTAATTGCGCATCTTCTTTTTCAACAACCCACCCACCTAAAACAACAAGTCCAAAAATTATTATAAATAACTATAATAATTACTAAATTATTATAAATTACTCGCTCTTCAACCTGCATGATGACTGGTTCATGGTGTGGATGTGAGCGCATATGACACCTCACAGCTCCTATCTAATGGAAGTTCCCCAACAGATGAAGACTGTCATGTGCAATGTATACAAGCTGGATGTACACCCTGGAGGATTCCCTGGAGGTCATGTGAGACCTGCCCAGGTAAGATACAGCAGTGATCCCAGGAAGGCAGGAAAGGGCAAGCAGTGAGGCTATACATGGGGAGGAGCAAAAGGCAGGGGAAGCTTGAGCCACTGACAAAGTCATCCGTCTACAAAGGAGACCAGCTCTCTCCACCTTCTCCACCTTCTCCACAACAGAAAAGAAAGAAGTGCTGTAAAACTCTGAGTCAAAAAATGAAAGGAAACATTATAAATCAGTTGTGAGAAAAATAACTATGGCAGAGAAATATTTTCAAGATCTGCTGTAAAGTGAAAACACACTAACAAAATTGTATGTATCTTATGAATCCAGTTTAAAAAACTTATGAAAGTATGCAGAAATATAGACAAAATATTAACAAATTAATAACTGGTTATCTCTGAATGTTTAAATTACAGGTCATTTAAACTTTCTTATTTTTGCTTATTTGTATTTCAAAAATTTTATGATTATGTATCCTATTTCAGAATAGGAAAAAACGTTTAAAAACAAAGGAAGAATATCAAATGTAGCGGTATACCAGCACTTTAGAGGCTAAGACAGGAGGATTGTGAGTTCAAGACCAGCTTGGCCTATATAGTAAGATCCTAATTATAGGAAATAAAGAAAGGAAGAGATCTGCTGAAAATCACTGAACATGGGCCACAGTTATATAACTGCGCAGGATTCCTTGTTGCAGGCTAGCTTGGGCTACAAAACTAGGCCTTGAATAAGACAGTCAGACACAGATAGACAGATAAGAGATGGAAGATAGATAGATAGATAGATAGATAGATAGATAGATAGATAGATAGAT